GTAGAATACCAGTATTCACAAGCCTTGTCATAGCCAAATCTAGGGTAGAGGATGCTATCGCAGCAATATGAGATACTCGTGACAATCTGATGTCTCTACTGCCTTTGGGTCTCGCTCCCTGTTTGTGCCATCGATTAGAGTGACAATCAGTTTCGGCTTGTTCCTCTACACTTGGCATAAACTGTTGAGATTGACTAGGTTCATGGGACTCACCGGCTGTATGCTGATGGGGTCCGTGACGACGGTCTGCTGAGTGTTCTGCCTGTTTTGGAAGTCCAGCAAGTAACTTTGTTTCAAGAACCGCAATCCTTTGTAGAAGTTTGCAGCAGTTCATGCAGCAAGTAGATTCAACAGGAGGCATTATTCTCTCTTGTCTGTTTGAATGTGGGCAACTGTGTTTTCCCGTCTCCAGAATTTAAGCTGCTGGCAGTGGGAGGCAAAAGTCCCCTTTTTTGTAGTATTATTCCAAGAGTTTTTAGTTTTAGTGTTTGTGCTAAAAATGTGTTGTTTGAGCACTGTGCTGATCTGCTGAAGTAAAAATCTTAGAAAAATCTGAGAAAAGTACAGAAACAGTGAGCAAAGTGCAGAGCAGTAAGCAAGAACGTCCGAATGGTAGCGAAGTCGGAAGCATTAATCGCAATATGCAGAGATGGCGTTTGAGATGCTCCACACATGTAAATGATAATAGTTTGTGTGGCTGAAGACTTGCACTCTTAGACTTGCATTATCAGACTTGCACTCTCAGACACTTGCCCTTCCACCAGTGACGTCACTTGCCATCTTTATTTTTTATTTTGTTCTATTTATTTTTTATTTTTTGTTTGAATCTCTCAACATTTTAAAACAGTAGCCAGGTGGTCAAGACAAGAAAAAATAAACTAAATTACTAAGTCACTTGCAGTCTTCACTTGCACTCTCCGATACCTGCGATGTCACTTGCAATTGACACAAATCGTGCGTGTTGCCAATGGAGACAAGACGCTGTGGTGCTTAAACGATGAAAGCTAATTTAGTACCATAACGTACAGGTAGTATTGTCTGTAAAATGTCTGAAATTTGTAAAATGTAAATGTCTGAAATTTGTGGAATCGAGTCAGATTCCGATTGCCGGTTCTGGAATCGATGGGATACGATTCCAAGAATTGAATCCTCACTGTTGTTTTCAATTCTTTTTTGATTCTTGTTGTTTTAGATTGGAGGTAATTTCGCCTTGACTGCTGGAAAAAGGTCAGATCAGACTCCTAAACACTATTAGCGAGCAAGAGGCAAATTAATGAGTGCTTCTCAAAATGGAAGGCTGCATCCTCAAACTCAGTCGAGCTCAGTACCAACTTTTCATTCAGATTATTTTTGTGAATCGACGTTCAGCGATGTTTGATGGCGTAGCAGCTGAGATATGCAGCCTTTGTAGGATGCAACCTTCCGTTTGAGAGGCACCCATAGATAAGCTTTGTTGAACTGAAAACGGCTCTGAATGAGGAGTCGATTCCCCTTGATGGAATCGATTACAACCTTTAGAATCGACTCTCGATTCCCAAAGCCTTGGAATCGATTATTTTTGGAATCAATTCCCAGCCCTACGTACAGGGTCCTGCAGGTCATCTCTAGGGAAAAAAAGACAAGACCTGCAAATCTGTGGCCACAGAACAGCAGAATATGAACGCAATGCACAAAAAAGTCTTGTGTTTTCCTCCTGTAGAAAACCATAAACACTTAATATGGCTTAATGTATTAAGATGCTATTAAAATATCAAATTCAATATACAGTTTATTAATATAATGAATATGTATATAGTATTTTCCTCCCATACCGCAAAGCGTGGCATAATGGACTAAGATGATAAAGACTCAAATGCTCCTCTACATTATTAAAATACATAAGTAATATGTACAGGCAAGCAGGTGAGCCCAGAATAAACGCAAAGTTTTGTGTTAAGCTTTTTTCCATATAGAATAAACTGTCTACAGCTCTTTTATATCATTGTCTTTGTCCATTAAGCTACATTACGTGTTTTATTTATAATTATTTTTTATGGGAGGAAAATGTTTAACGTGCTATTTAACGCATTGCATTCTGGGCTCGTCTGCTTGCCTGTACGGAGTTGATCCTTTTAATATCACTTCATGCATTTCATAATGCAATATTTGCTGGTCTGTATATACTTTGAGTCAACAACAAGACATATAGGCTACTGAATTGTCTTTATCATCCGTTATTATGCCACATTAAGCGTTTTGCTGTATGGGAGGACAAGTGAAAGTTTGCGCATTGTGTTCATGGCCATCTGTTTGCCTTGTAGTACATTAAATAATAACTATATATCGAATTTGATCTTTTAATTGCACTTAATGTTGGCCTATCTTAATACATTACGCCATGTTAAGTGTTTATGTTTTTCTACAGGAGGAAAACGCTTAACGAGAGACTTTGTGCATTGCGTTCATATTCTGCTGTTCTGTGGCCACGGATTTGCGGGTCTTGTCTTTTTCTTGCAGGACCCTGTACGTTATAGGGCTAAATTAGTTTTAATCGTTTAATCACCACCACAGCGTCTTGTCTCCATTGGCAACACGCACGATTTGAGTCAACTGCAAGTGACGTCGCAGGTATCGGAGAGTGCAAGTGAAGACTGCAAGTGACTTCGTAATTTAGTTCCTTTCTTCTTGTCTTCACCACCTGGCTATATTGTTGTAAAATGTTTAGAGTTTCAAACAAAAAATAATCAATAAATAGAACAAAATTAAAAATAAAAAAGACTGCAAGTGTCGTCACTGGCGGAAGCACAAGTGTCTGAGAGTGCAAGTCTAAGAGTGCAAGTGCAAGTCTGCAGCCAGACCCTTCTCAGGAATCGTGACTGCCCCAATTAAAATATGAAAAAGTGCATTGAAAAAAGCACAGCTTAAGTGTATTTCTTTTTCACCTGGGCTTTCTCTTCTTCATGTTTGAACTGAAGATCTTCTCTCTCTCTCGGTCTTCTTTCTCTCTCTCGTTTAAGTTTCTCATAATATTCATCCCATGTTTCCTTTTCTTTCTTTATCCTTCTCTCCTCCTCTTCTTCTCTTCTTTGTCTTTCCTGTTGTTTCTGTTTTTCCCATTCCTCTCGTTCTCTCTTCATCTCTGTTTTAAATCGTTCTTCTCTTTCCATATATTCCTCTTCCCTTCTCTTTCTCTCTTGATCATGATTCTGTCTTTCTTCCTCCAACATCATCTTCATTCTCTCTCTTTCTTGTTTAAGTCTCTGATTATGTTCATCCCACATTGTCTGTTCCTTCTTTCTCCATTTCTCCTCCTCTTCTTCTCTTCTTTGTCTTTCCTGTTGTTTCTGATTCTCCCATTCCTCTCGTTCCCTCTTCATCTCCTCTTGTATTTTTCTCTCTTGTTCTTCTCTTTCTTTGATGTCTCTTTTATATCGTTCTTCTCTCTCAATAAATTCTTCTTTTCTTCTCTTTCTCTCTTTGTCATGATGTTCCTCCATCTTTATCTTCATCTTCTGTTTCTCTTCTTTATGTTTGTTCATCAGTTCTTCTCTTTCTCTGTTCACTTGCTCCACTTTCTCCATCAGTATGTTCTTCTGTTGTTCTTGTATTTCTCTCTCCATCTCTCTGAACATCTTACATGAGTAGTAACTCCCTCCGTTTGCTTTCACCATGTTGTCTATCTTCTGCAGTAGATCGGTCACCTGTGTTCGGTCTTCAGTCTCATTATTGAACACATGGAATCTGTTTCCACATGCTTCAATCAGCTGATTCAAAGCAGATCCAAGTTTTCCCAAACACTGTTCAATGATTTTGTTCTTCAGAAAGTCTCCTCTGGTGAAGAGCACCATGGTGTACATTAAAGAGTTCTCTCCAAATGTCTCTTGGATGATCTTCACTGCTGTTTGTTCTTCTTGAGTGAATCGTCCCAGAGGAATCACTAAGAGAAACACATGTGGTCCAGGCAGGCTCATAGAGATGCAGTTGCTGATTTTTCTCTGGATTTGTTCATTACTGAGTTCAGTATCAAACAGTCCTGGAGTGTCGATCACAGTAATGTGTCTGCCGCTGATTTCAGCGTTCTCTCTAAGACACTCTTTAGTAACAGACTCTTCAGAAAAGTCTGATATAAACACTTCTCTTCCTAAGATGGTGTTTCCAGTTGAACTTTTCCCAACTCCAGTTTTTCCCAGCAGCACAATCCTCAGTTCATCTTCTCTTTCTCTTGAATCTAAAGATAGATTTAAAAAAATTAAAAACAGTATACTGAATTTCAACTGAATGTTGTCAATTCTCTAGTTCAATAGTGAATATTGTGTATAATTTATACATTAAAACATTAATCATATTATTATTTCTCCTGAACTCTGCCTATAATGTTATTCTCACAAATGTGTGTAGACTTTAACAATCATGAAACGTGTGTTTAATCAATGCAGATTTCATAATCATTACCTTGTGACTGAAACCATGTCTCTAATGAATAGATTCTCCTCTTCATTTCTTCAAATTTCAGCAGTTTTTCCATCTGTGCCTCCATCAGTGTCTCTGTGGAGAAACAAACACCACTATTTTCCTCAACCATCTGCTCCAGTTTCTCCATCAACACAGACACTTGTGTGTTCAGGTCAATGAACTGATGGCGTCCTTCAAATCTCTCAATGACAGACTGTGTTTCTTCATTTAGTTCTGCTGTCTGATGCTCTGGATTTTGCTTTATGAGGATCATGATGTGTTTGTTGATTCTTGAGCTGAAGATCCTCTGGATCTCCTCTATTTCTGCTTCGTCTTCATCAGTCAGTGGAGCATCAGGAATGATGAGGATGAACACATGAACTCCAGGATGACAGAGAGACACACAGCGGTGAGTCTGACGCAGCACGTCCTCCTCTGAGAGCTGAGTGTTGAACAGAGCTGGAAGCTCCACCAGACTGATCAGACGTCCATCAAGCTCCACGTCTCTCCTCACACACTCTGAGCTCAGCTCTGATCTTCTCTCGCTCTGCTTCAGGATCAGCTTTGATGTGAAGGATTTTAATTCTCTGTTACTCCCACACACAA